TATATATATATTTGTACAAACATTACATTAATATATTTATAAAAAAAATTACATTAATATCATTTAATGTTATACTAATATTTTTTCTCAAGTCTAGTTTACTTCTTTTTACTTATATCACCTATTGAATTTTTATTGTTTAAAATATGTATATATTAGTTTTTTTTAATAAATTCATAATTAAATAATAAACCCGTGCGATGCAACTAATATGTTTACTCGTACATCACACGGGAGCATGTGAAATATACTTTATATAATAAAAATGATTTTTATAATTTTAGACTTTAAAGCGTATTTTATTTGTATTTTAAATTTTATATTTATTCTATAATAATAGAAAAATATATAACGTTTATAAATTAATGTATAAAAAATAAATCTACGTAACTAATGTATATGGTATTTGAGAAAATTACTGAATAATGTTATGAAAAATATGAAAGATCGTCTTTTGAAAGTTGGTAAAACTGGAAGATTAAGAAACTAAATTGGAAATTAAACTATTTTAAATGTAGGAAAGTGAGATACACTATATTTTGAAATCTCCATATCCCTTATGTGGCTTCTAATTGAGCAGACATATTAAAATTGATGAGGCTCACATTTAATTAAAAAATTGTTATTGGTTGTACAACCCAATGGACGTGCAATTAATATTTTTTAATTGCAAAATTTATTATAAAATTTGAGTGGAAAATCATTATTAAAAAAAACTCATTAATATTTTTTTATGAGGAAAAATTAATATATGCAGAATTTATAGAGAATGAAGATGACATTGAAAAATTATCGAAAAGTTTTTCACTTTAATGTAAGTAAAGATAAGATAAGATTTTTATGATTTTTAATAAAAGTATACATTTAAATTCAAATTACTTTACAAATATATATATATATATATATATATATATATTAATTTAATATCAATTTTTATTATAAAATAAAATAAAATTTTGATTTTGATTTCTCAAATTTATTATTACTTTATTAAAAAGTTCGATATTAAATTAATATTTTTATTTTGATTCCTTAAATCTATTAGTATTTCGATGAATTATCGATGGTAAATCATGAATTATTGCAAGTAGATATAATTATATTAGAATTTATTTTGTAGACTTTATGTAGAACATAAATGAGAATTATTGCATGCAGATTTGATAATGTTAGATTGTTTATTTTATAGAATTTATTTTAGAAATTGTTCATTTTAATATAAGTATGATAACATAAGATATAATTTACAAAATTTAAATACAGCATTAAATGCTATAATTAATAACATTTATTCTCAAGTCTAATTTACATTTTATATATTATATTAATATTGATTTGTCTTTTTAAATGTATTTTTTAAACTAAAATTTTTAATTCTTAATTAAATAATAACATTGCGAAACCATTAGGGTTAGCCTAGTGGTTGGGTGTAGAGGGGTTGAGGTAGTTAGAAACATGAGGACCTAAGTTCAATTATCATTGCGACCATCTTTGTAATTTTTCCTATCTTTACAAAAAAAAAATAATAATAACATTGCGTCATATTATATAAGGGAAATCTATTTATTTACATATTTATATAAATATTACACTAATAACACTAAATATTAAATTAATTTCTTTTTAGTCTAATTATATATATATATATATATATATATATGAAAAAGAGGCATATTGTGCCTCTTAATATTTATTTAAAAATAAAATAAAAGAAAGATAATAAAAGTAACATTTAATTAAAAATCAATGATAAATATCGTAATTGACTTTAGATTTTATTATATATATATTTGATCTTCTCATAATTTTTAATCATTAATCTTTTAGTCAAACAATTATAAGTGTACTTTATTATAACTTATTCACTTTTAGGAACTAAATTCAATAATTGCTAAAATATCTTTTAATTTTTTATTTTTTCTTAATAATTAAAGAGTATAATAATTGATGTTGATTAAAAAAACAGTTACTAAATGAAGTATTTCTTTTTATACAGCAGTATTGATTTAACAATTTTGATAACTTAAATACATGAAACCTGTGAAACGTGGATTTTTCAACGAAAGATTGAACTTTCTTTTTAAAATAACCAGAAATTTTATAAGCACAATCTGTTCCAGCATAATGCTTTCACAATTGATGCTGTGTTGTTGCTTTCATAACAAATTACTGATTAAATTAGTATTAATTAATTAATTAGTTATAGAAGATATTTTATTTTAGAAATTACAACTAGTAACGCTTGAACTTTTATAAATTAGGCATTCCTATGAAAGTTGCAAAAAAAGTATAAATCCGATTCAGTATTCATTACGTACATTAAAATATTTATTTATTATTTTTATATACTGGTGCTCTGATAAAACATTTGACTGGAGAATTGGAAAAATTGACGTTTATAAATATGATCGATGTAAACGCAGGTTTAATTTATCCAGCAACCTTAAGATTGATTAGTCCAAACAAAAAACACCCTCCATTCCCAATATATCATCACCACGTGTAGTGATCATTTGATTTGTTGTTTCTTTTTTATATATAAAGTCCATTTCTTTGATCTCCTTTCTAGCGTCGCATTAAATAAAAAATCTTCTTTGTTTGCTCCATTTGTAACGTAACGTTCCTCATTTTGAAATATTTCTTACATAACGGATGAAATATTTGACTTTGACCCTTGTTTTTTCTCTTCTTTCTTCCATCCAAGCTCTCATCTATTTAAGCATCTCAACTCATTGTGCTGTCATTGCACTTGAGAATGTTCAGGTTGAATCCTGAAATGGGTTGGCTTATTATATTTTGTGTGTTGTTTTCACTAAGTTCAGTGTTTGCTGATGGAGGAATTCCAACCACTCTGGATGGACCCTTCAAGCCTGTGACCGTTCCTCTTGATAAGAGCTTCCGAGGAAACGCCGTGGACTTGCCAGATACAGATCCTCTCGTTCAAAGAATCGTTAAAGGGTTCCAGCCAGAACAAATCTCTCTCTCCCTCTCTTCTTCTCATGACTCTGTTTGGATTTCTTGGATTACAGGTACCACTTTCATCTTCATTACTACTTTCTCATCTTGTTCCCCCCACTTGAAATAATAAAAACAGGTCACAAATGAATGCAACCATCACTTTTCTTGTTTTTTTGCTTCATTCCTTCACGTGAACTTATAATTCATGCCATCATGGCATGCAGACAAATGGCTTTGCTCTTGTTTTCATTTTCCAAATGCAATTAATGTTGCTTTCAGTACCGTTGAATTAAAACCCGTGTTGCTACAGGAAGCACCGAAGCACACTCACTCTCTAGGTGCTTATACCTTTTCCTTCATTCAACAATTAACATAAAGTTGCTTTTTAATGCATTAAGCTACCAACAATCGTACAATTCGAGGTTATCGAATTTCATTGAACCTTTAGCTATCTACCAATTGTAAGTGTTGAATTTGTTTTTTTCTCCTAAGGCCATATTTTGGGCATGTTACTGCCATAACTCTTAATTTCATGTCAAATTCAAGTGACTATATAGGTTTACTTTTACCTCATAACTAGTGCTTATCTATAAAACGTATATGGCATAAAATAGGTGTCACATTGTCGATTATATTTGCAGGGGAGTTCCAAATTGGGGACAATATAGAACCCTTAGATCCTGAAACTGTTGCTAGCATAGTTCAATATGGAAGGTTCGGAAGGAAAATGAGTCACCAAGCTACGGGTTATTCCCTCGTCTACAGTCAGCTTTATCCATTTGAAGGCCTTCAGAACTACACCTCTGGAATTATACATCACGTTCGTCTCACAGGTATAAGACTCTGTACAAGCTTCCCTTCTATGTTCTAACCCACTTGCACTGGAATTTTTTTATCCAAATAAATGTATTTATGACTTGGAAAGAATAAGCAGGGTTTAGAATCATTATCCTTTGCCTTTGCTAGTTATTTTAAGTCAAATGTGTATTTGTATGGCATATATAATTGGTTGTGCACTTGTACCAGAGGCAAAAGAAGTTATTGGGAAAATTTAGAATTGTGTTGTATTTGCCGCTGGAGTGAAACCCAACACACTATATCAATATCAATGTGGAGATCCTTCTTGGTCAGCAATGAGTGATATTCATTATTTCAGGACTATGCCAGCTTCTGGCCCCAAGAGCTACCCTAGCAGAATAGCAGTGGTTGGAGACTTGGGCCTTACATACAATACCACATCCACTGTTAATCATATGACCAGTAACCATCCTGATCTTATTCTGTTGGTTGGAGATGTTAGTTACGCTAACCTGTATCTTACAAATGGTACTGGGGCAGACTGCTACTCTTGCTCATTTTCTAACACTCCCATCCATGAAACATATCAGCCTCGTTGGGATTATTGGGGAAGGTACATTTTGACTTTCTTCCTTAGGAAGCTTTTTTCTATCATTGTTTTAGTGGTCTTGCCATGCCGTTATCTTGATTTTCTTTACAATGCAATCAATGTTGGTTGTTGTTGATTCAGGTACATGCAGCCTCTGATTTCTAGTGTCCCAATAATGGTAATAGAAGGGAATCATGAGATTGAAAAACAAGCTGAAAATCGAACATTTGTTGCTTATAGTTCTCGATTTGCATTCCCATCAGAAGAGAGTGGATCATCATCCACCTTATATTATTCTTTCAATGCTGGAGGGATACATTTTATAATGCTGGGTTCCTACATATCGTATTACAAATCAGGTTAACTCTCCCTCTATCCTTTTCTTTTATTGTCTTCTACATGATCCAATATTCTTCGTACTATTAACATGGTTTAGACATTGGAAAGCATTGCTGTTTACTTGCCTGCATGATATTGATTGGGATAGTGTTAATAGTTTCTAATTAGCTCACTACTAACATGGTTTAGACTTTGGAAAGCATTGCTGTTTAATTACATGCATAATATTGATTGGGATAGTGTTAAAAGTTTCTAATTAGCTCACAACCAATGCCATCCCCTCTTTTATTGCAGGGGACCAGTACAAGTGGTTGGAGAGAGACTTGGCTTCTGTTGACAGGGAAGTAACTCCGTGGTTGGTAGCTACATGGCATTCACCTTGGTACAGCACCTACAAGGCACATTATAGAGAAGCAGAGTGTATGAGGGTAGAGATGGAAGACTTGCTATATAAATATGGCGTTGACATTGTCTTCAATGGACATGTATGCTATTGTTTTCATTAATTTTCATATATGATGCATTAGTCTAGCCTTTCTATGGAAGGATATTTGTTGCTTGCCCTATCATTTGTCCATGATCCATAGATAAATTGGCAAGGTGAAGTTCAATAAATGCATTTTTAGTTGAGTCATAGCTTGTACTTGTAAAATCTCTAATGGGAACCGAACGTTGAACAGGTTCATGCGTATGAGAGATCAAACCGGGTATACAACTACACATTGGATCCTTGTGGTCCTGTTCATATCACGGTTGGTGATGGTGGCAACAGGGAAAAGATGGCAATCACACATGCTGATGAACCTGGAGAGTGTCCAGAACCATCAACTACACCAGATGACTTCATGGGAGGCTTCTGTGCCTTTAACTTTACATCGGGTCCAGCAGCAGGTAACTTCTGTTGGGACCGACAGCCTGATTATAGTGCTTTCAGAGAAACTAGCTTCGGTCATGGCATTCTAGAGGTCATCCTTCTTTCTTTACTCTTTTCTTTATGGATGGAAATTACCATAACATTCACTCATTCATGCATGTTAGAGGTACACAAAACATAACTGCTATGTCATATGCAGATGAAAAATGAAACCCATGCACTGTGGACTTGGCATCGCAATCAAGACTTTTATGGTAGCGCTGGAGATGAGATTTACATTGTTAGGCAACCTCAAAAATGCCCACCAGCCAGCCCATAGGTACATAATATTTTTACATTGTTGCATTAGATTGACCGTTGATATATATATATATATACACACACAAAAGTAATACTTGAAATGCTTTAATATCTTCTTTTGGCTTGCTATCAAGTTTTTTTCTAATATCTAGCTACTTTTCTCGTAAACTCAGCTATATAGGATTATATTAGAGTATCTTACACGCAAGCATGGATTAAGATTTGTTATCTGTAGCAAGTAATTCAGTTTCTTATTTATTATGAGTAAATATGTTTTTAACCTGGATGCTTTCCTTCAATTTTGCAGGAGGGCGCTAAATTTTTTTTACTTGAAGATGCATTAAGCACATCAATGATTTCAAGGAGTGTAGCGCTGAAATTATCATATCTGACACCACGTGCGGCAATTGGATTCAAAGGCATACTGTATGTTATTGTGTATTAGTTAACAAGAATGAATTGTAAACAAGTATTTTAAAATTAAAGAATAAAACAATATCTTGAGTGGATATTGGATACACAGGATATAATCGTAACGTAGGACATGTATTGCGTTTTACTCGGTATGAATTTTGTATTCTTATAATCCTGATAACATTTTTCCAATTTATTGGAATCCTACTAGTGTTTCTCTGCAACAGAAAATTGGAAAAATGCATATTACTATCAGATTTAGTCTTTATTTCAAATATGCAAGACCTTAGACACTATTTATTCGGTCAGGATTTTGATGTGTCTCACTTGCATTTATCTATAAAATAAGCTGGTAATCTATCGGCCTGATCGGTGGCCTTACAAAAGGAGGAGCAAGAAAAGTAAAGATCATAGAGAAAAAAGTGATACGGAAGAAATTCATTGTAAGGAAGCAGGTCTAAACAAACAAGTATGCGAAGAGAACAACGAAACTGAGCTACTGACTTAAATAGAAAGGTCTCCGAACAATTCTTGCTCTATACCTCCCACTTCAGAGGAGGATATGACTTCCATTACATAACTCAGGTAGAAAAGTCTGCCTAAGGGATAAGGAGCAGAATGAGAAGGAAAACAAAAAATGAGGAGGTGGCCATTGTCTTTGAAGGTGCTCCAGAATTTTCAGGGATTAGAGGGTTCATTCCTGATGCTGATGCTGCACCATCTCCTCCATGGATTGGACTTGTTATGGTACTGGTAGGTGGTGTTGTTACTGTTGTATTTGTTACTCCAACAGTTCTAGACATTATAAGAAATAAAGTAAGCAATCATAACTCAGTTTACAGTAATGCATTCATCTTTTATATTCAAATGAATAATCACGCGGGTGTGACCAACTGGCCAACTGGGAGTGACCTCGTTAAAGTCACCTGTTTTCCCGAGCAATTTGCTTTCTTCGCCGAGGGATAAGAAAAAAAAGAACTGCACATTTTCTTTCGACTAACTATAATGAAAAAATACTTTAAAAAAAAAAATCTCTCGTCTGTTTCCTTTTTCCTTTGAATTTAATTTTAAAATTTTCTCCGTTCAAATAAATAAGGAATAAAAACATGGTTACTATTGGCCAGTAGCAATGACATAGTTACTGTACTTCAGAAGTCCATCTTTGTCTTTGCTGTTTTGGCGAATCACCAACAAGTTGTGTTCCCATTGCCAATGACACTTGAACATAATAATATAGTATCTTTACAGTAAACCACCCACCTAAACGTAGTTAAAAGGGAATAAGGTTTAAGTGAGATATTAATTAACACTAAGTGAAGGCAGGATGAAGGTTGGATTGAATGCATACTACAACAAAGTGAGAAGCACAAGGCCGCAACAGTACAACCAAAAGGGGCAAGACGTAAGGGACAATAAACCATTTTTCTTTCCACTTCCAGAGATCTCTCTCTGTCTCTTCCTGGGAACTCAGGCCATTCCCACTATCACAAATAAATAAATGGCTACAAAACGAATTAAATTCTTGTTGGTGAAAGAAAAGAAGTAGAAGGAGAAGGAAGAGGCATATATACCTTGTTGGTGAGGCTGCGAAGGAAGGGTAGATGCAAGATCCATAGCCTGTAATGTATATATATATATATATATAGAGAGAGAGAGAGAGAGAGAGATGTGTGATGTGATCCTTATGATTGAAGTAAAGTAGTGAAAAGAGAAAAGGGGCATGTACTGGGATCGGTTTGAGCGATGGTGGATGTTCCGGAGAAGAGGCATGCGTCGGGAGCTCTGGCATTACGCTGGTAGAAGGTGTTGAAGGCATAAGAAGCGTGAGCTTGAAGGGTGTTGGGAATGTAACAGAGACCATCGGGCTGAATGGGAGCGCAATCAGCTCCACCGCCTCCGCAAGCAGAGTCCAGTGCTGTCTGCAGTGCTTCCTCGTTCGCCCCAATCTTCGCCACGCACCAACTCCCTCCTTCCACCATGCTCACCATCACCATCACCATCACCACCATCATCCAACTACCCACATTTACTTTTGCCATTGCCATCACTAATCTAAAGGGATGCTTAAAGAGAAGAGAATTTATTTATTGAGTTTTGGTCTATGTTATCTTCATTTATTGACCAGTTTTGGTACTCTAGAGTGCCACTGTCCCTTTCAATAATCTATCTAGACTAGGCTCCAAATCTTCGTTCGACCTCGAAACCCTGTTTTGTCACCAAACCTTTTCCTTAAAAAAAAAATGTCAATTCAATCACATCATTACTTTTAATTTTAATTTTAATTTTTTAAAAGTATAATGGATCCTTCCACCATCACTCAACCAACCACATTTAGAGTGTGTTTGAATATCTAATTCAATCACTTTCCATGTGAAGTCTCTGATGGGAAAGTTTAGGAAGTGGTCCATCCGTGCTGCATGTTTAGGATTTAGGATGATCGTAGATATAATATTAAAAAATTGAACGGTTGAGATTATAATGTAATGAGTAAGATTTAATAATTGCAGAGTAGTCTTTCTAATTTTGATATTTGTCCGTGTTTTTAGGTTTATGAAGGGTTTTGGTGTTGTTTAGGGTTTTCCATCATCAGTTGATTTGCGACCCGGTTACTGTGGTGTTTTGGTTGTACCAGTTCCGATTACGAGGTGCGATTGGCGGCATCGTCCTTTTGTGGAGAGCATCTTCGAAGTAGGGCTCCGGCGGCCCGTCCGTTGTTGTTGGTGGTAGTCCGCAACCGGTGCGAAGATTTGTTAGGTTTAATAGGTGACCAATCGATTTTGTTTATTTTTGAAACCTAAAGTGTCGCGTACAAAAGGAAGCCGTTTTGGAAGTTAACGTTTTTTGTTTATTTTGCATTTGATTTTATATGTATGTGCAATTTTGTTGATACATCTGTTGCTGGTGTCTACCGTTAATAGAGAGATTAACTGCTGCGGAAGTGTTTTGAGGTTGATAGATTGACTTATTGTTATTAAACGTGAAAGTAGAATGGACTTTCAGAATTCAAGTATAGAGGTAAGTGATATTTGTGTCATGTTTAGGGTTGTGTCCTTTAATATTGCGTTGTGTCATGTGTGTCATAACTGTCATGATGAAGGTTAATATTCTTTTTAAGTTTGTGATAGTCTTAAAAGGTTTAATTGAGGATTAAAACTTTTTAGGTGGCAGTAGATAATTGTGAAAGCATAAATGAAGGAGTAGATAATTTTGAAGGCATAAATGAAGGAGTATTTAATTTTGAAGGAATAAGTGAAGGAGAAGATAATATAAATGAGAATGAGGAAGATGAGAATTTGGTTATTGATTTATAGGAAATTTGTGATGAAGAAGTGGAAAATGTTGTTAATGAAGGAAGATTTGAGGTTTTTGACAGTGAAAACGGGGTGATAGTTTCTACTTTGAATGATATTTTTAATTTAGATTTGCATTTAAGTCCCCATGAGCTTAGGAATGTTCAATTTGTAAGTGTTGAGATGGCTTACTTATTTTATTACTGGTTTGCAAAAGTTAATGGATTTGCCGCAAGAAAGAGCAAGAATTTGATAAATATTAAGGGGGAAAAATTACAATAAACATTTGTTTGTTTCAAGGAAGGATTTAGAGATAACCGTGTTTTGAACATACAGAATCGAACGCGAAAGCAAACATCGGAGACAAGGTGCGAATGTGAAGCAAAACTAAGAGTGCATATTGCTAAAATGTATCCCCTTTATAATAAGTATAGATTATATAATGGTATAATATTAAAGTAAAACTTTTTAAATTATAAATAACAAAAAAAATCAAATAATAATCCTATAATGTTGAAGAGCAATTTAAAGTTTTCTTAATGTATAAGTAAAAAAGTAATAACTTTTTTGTTAAATAAAACTTATTTACTACAAAATAATTAGAAGAAGAAAAAACAAAATATGTGCCAAACATAAGAAGTCGCGACACAAGTTGATATTTCTCAAGGAAAACGTGATTTTAGACGTATCTAAAGTTTTCAGCCGGACCACTATAG